GGCGGACTGTCGGCTTCTGTATCAGAAGTAAATGAGGGTTGAAGAACTTGTTTCTAGCAGCAGAGTTGGTTGGAAGTGAATATTTAATTGTTTTTAACGTCCTACAGGCTCTGACATGTTGAATAAATTAGAAACTAAGTTTTTGAAAGATTCCATAAAACATGAAAACAATCTGTGAGATTGCTCTTTTCATCCATTTACACAAGACTTTGACTGAAAATGCAAATAAAAGATGAGAAGTTCTGTGTTTATTGACCAAAGTTATAAAGATTTAATTATGTAGTATTTGCAACATGACAGTTATTACAAGTATATTGATTAGGATGAACAGAAATACTGGTTTTTGATTGTTTATTACATAATGCACCAGATTATTACACCACCACATTTTGTAATAATTGCCTCAAAATGTAATAATGTTATTACATAATGCGTTGAAGACTTTTATTACATTTTGAGTCAATTATTACATAATGCGGTTTTGGTGCAAGTTTATTACATTTTGAAGCCTGATTTTATTACGATATTACATAATACGCTGTTTTTACAAAAAGATGTCTTACAAGGTTTATGATTAGGATGTCCCCTGAATGTCTCTCTTTGAAGGTTTTCTGAACATGTTTTACTGAAAAGACACCTGGGATGATCACATGTGTCACCATCTTGTATCTCATTACTTATCCTGGGACTGCACCCATTAGAGTTGCAATAGAAAATTGTAAATTGTTATGCAAGACGTAACTAACATTTTGTGAGCTAAGTCATAAAACACCCCGCTGCTGTTGTTTACCACATTTAAGCAGGACAGTATTTCTGTAAGTGTGTGCCATTCTAGTTTCCATGGTGAGGAAATTGCATCCACGTTCACAGAAAGGATAAGAACTAATTGTCTTGACGTGCACTTGTAGACTTAAATGTTCATAATCGCTGCACTCTGGTCCAAAGTGTCAACCTGCAGAAACATACTTAAAGATTATTTGCTCCTGTCAGTAATTGGTTTCTTTTCTCTTTGTGTTTTTCAGCAAACCCTCTGCTCATTAATTCATCCATGCAGCCTGACCTGACGGTGTCGCGCACGTACACGAGCCCCATGTGTTTCCAGGACTCCATTGACAAGGAGATAATGGCTGAGCACTCGCTTCTCGACCCGCTGCCTGATCTGAAGGCCAAAGGTCAGGAAATGGAACTATTCAAAAAGCCATGTGAATTTATTTGGTAATCATTTACGTTTTGAAGGGTAAGAGAGAGCAGTTTACAGCAACAGTGTGAAGGATAATCCATCTTACTTTGAATGTTTTTCTCTAAAGGAAACCTTTCATATTAAACAAATTGGTATTTTTTTCAAACTTTGTTCCCTTTCAGTACTGTTGCTACCAGTGGTGTGCACCAGTCCGCTAATTGCATTAATTTTGTTTGTGCTTTATCGGTCTTACTAAATTTTATAATTCATAAGTGGATTTGCGCTTTCTGAAATTAAAATGCAGTACCACAAATAACTAATTATCTACCAGTCCTCATTATCTTGAACAGCGGAAGGAATGGTTGTCCAATCACAACACATGTGATCTATCCAATGGCACCCCTCCCAGATAAACACACTTATTGTGAAGGTATACATCCTCGCTGACTGTTGATTTTGGTCAGGGTTCTGATTTCCCACAATGCTTTGTATCTGCTTTCGTAGCAGGAAGGCAATAGCTAAAACAGTTAACTTTTGTAATCCATACTAAAATTTTGTATGTATTGATTTATTTTACTTTACAATCAGAGCTACTTAAAAAAAGGTTTAAACGCTGGAGCTCAATACTTGACGTAATTGGTCAAAGCAATCGGCCAACGCGGTTAGAGACTCAGAAATGATTTAAAGATGTTATGCTGATGAAGACTGACATCTAGTGGTCAACTGGAGCAACWACATGGAAAACTTTAAAATCCAAGCTCTTATTTTGAAGAGAAGATAGTTTCCTGTTCTCCGTGCTTTCGTTTCCCATCACAAATCAAATCTGTCATGTACCC